GCATGAAATGATTACACAATGCAAAATAATGTAACTTACAGTGATGTAATATAAATTCCACTGATTGTCTGTTCCTTAGTTCAGATAAACCAATATCAACCACCCAGGGATCACTTCTTGCAGGACTGAAGTGTAGATGTCTGGTGAGAAACATAGTAACACATTAAAACTTTGAAAGTAGAAAGACGGGAGGAAAAAATAATTACCATAAACTGGAATTTGATTAGGACACTGGAATCAAACTCCTTTCAAAGGTAGAATGAAAACTTTCAGGACCACAACCAGTCAAGGAACTTGGGATCCTCAAATCACCAGGAATTAAGTAGGGGTTTACAACTAACTTGCTTCCCTCCCTCCCCATCACCTGTGGATGTTACCACCACATGCAGAGCTCTGAATTGCTGACCAAGTGTGTCATATCGTACATCATTGTTGTTTCTGCATTGTACTGTTCACAGCATGACTTACCCGCTTCTTCAAAGTCTTTATTGCCATGAATCTAACCATAGCTTCAATTTTTCATCAATTCTAAAATTTCCTTTCTTCTAAGTAATTGAACATGTTCCCTACCCTCCCTCAAAGAAATATTAAACACAACCCCCTGTTGGCACTAAATTGCTAATTTTTCTACTCTATTTATCTTTTGAATGCATGCCATTTTGCTCAGTTTGTAGGCTCTCTGGACAGTGCCCATGTCATTATAGCCATGAATAAAGAGTTGGCCTCAATACTGGTGCTACACAAATAATACAGAAATATGGTACTGTCAACTTTTACAGTATTTTTGTTTTTGCAGTCACTCCTGGAATCAAAGGACTTCCTGATAACCTCAAATGCCATAAAAAACCATGGAAAGAAAACCTTTAAAACATAACCTAAGTAAACCTATGGTAACAACAACCTTTGTTGTTGTTGTTGAATTTTAAGCCATTCTTATAATTTTTGGGTGGTTTGGCTGCCATTTGATATTTGGGAGTAGGCAATTCTGCCATGAATTGTTGCCCAAGCCCAACAGTATATATAGTATGTAAGATCCAGCGAACAGTTGGCAACAGGCCTTTAAGGATCACAACTTGAAATTGCTAGTTAAAAGTTACTTGTCAGCTGTGCAAGGCAATAGGTATTGGCTGGGAAATCGTTCAGGCCTCTAATTTTGTTAACATTTTGAACCATAGAATGTCATATGGAACTACTATAAGCAGTAAATAGTAACTCCAGTTTAGAGCAGGTTTTAGGAATTAGGCCAGCATAACTTTGTCTGTGGCCCAAGTTGGGCTCTCTCCTGATAATAAAATGTAGGTTTTTGAACAGTAAAGTGGTCGGGTAGCCTTCTCAAACATTTTGATAACCAGAATTGCAATGTAGGAGGATGAGAGTCCACAAAAATCAGTCCATCACAAAGTTCTCCTCAGCAGAGTCTCTCTTGCATTTGTTTTCATTTAGTGGTTAATGGTAGTTTTGATTACTTAGTTTAGCCAGGAATATTTGACCTGGAAGCACATATATGTATGTGTGTGTACATATTGTGTAGGAAAATATTTCGCTACTACTTTTAATGCAAGGCGCTCCACTACGTTTTATAGACAATGAAGCAAGAAATGGGACACACCTAAGAAGTAGTAAACAGAAAACTAACCTTGTTTTCCTAAAAACTCATATATGTTCGAGATATGCACCAACATAAATGACTGGAGCAAGCTGCATTTGTGTAACTTTACATCAGTATAATTAGCAGTTTGGACTGGTACAACCACAGTGATGTAATAACTCTAGTGCAAAAACATGCAATAGAGACAACGCCATCCCACAATTACTTAAATGAAAAACTCAGAAATAACCCAGACTTCCAAACTCCCATATCTACTTCAGCTATAAATTTGCTTCCTTCAAGTATATTTTATTTTCTTACACATTTAAGTTGATTTTAAATACAGGTTTAAACCACTGAAATTATTATAAAGATCAGGAAATTTTGGATGCCTTCATTCAACTTCCAGTTAGCTTAGCAAAAAAATCTAAAGCTGGTGTAAGCAGCAAGGAAATGTTTAGAAAGAAATCTTATACCAGCGGTGCTCAACCCCCCGCCAATGGCCAGATCCAGTCCACAGAGCTCAGTTATCTGGTCCATAGGGCTCCTGAAGGGTACAGAAATTTGGTGGCAGGGGAGCGATGACACTGTTAATTAATGCTCCAATGCCACCACATTTCCAGACCTCTGGGGAACTCTACAAGCTGGATAGTGTGACCCTGTGTGCAAGCACATGGCTAGATTTGGCTGCTCAGGGTCAAGCTGGCATTTTGGATTGCACCCAGACAAATCCTATGCAATGACTCAGCACAGGATCTGGCCTGTGAACTGACCCTGTACCATTTATCCAGCTTGCAGGCCAGCAGGTCAAATGCCACCACTCTACACAAACACCAGACTGATGATGAAGGGCAAATTAAGGACATGCATGCTTCTGTCATTCTGAAATCTAGATTTCATTGCTCAGAGAAAAGTTGCCTACTGAGTGATTAATTTGAGTATTGCTGAACTTAACAAGAAACCCATAGGAATATCTGACATCAAAAGGAACAATACATCTTGCAGTCATTTTCAACACAAGCAGCTTCCTTAATAGAAACATTTATTATAACTTATTTGCTTAAAAAATAGGGAAAAGATGAAGTGGCAGCTATGGTCCCCTAGCTACACGTGTTGCTATATTAGCGTGTTCTGTCTTGTGTTGTGTCAGGGTTGATAGTGTGGTTTTGCTAAGAGGTTAGACTATGGATTTGTATAGGTTGACTTGAATGGGGTAGATCCTGCCTTAGGCAGGGGGTCAGACTTGATGACTTAATGTCCTCCATAGAAGTCCTTCTTCTCTGATTCTTTATGAAAAACAAATGTAATCAATGACAGCTACAAACATGTAAAACTTATTAGATGTTGCAACACTTAAGCAGCAACACTTTAAGAATCAAGCTTAGAACCAAACATCTAGATAAATACTACAGATTTCTGGAACTGTTTTTAGTCAAGTTCTTAAGCTACTTTATCAGCTTGTTTTACATGCTCCACCAAGGCGCTCCATCAGCCTGCCCCAGCACAAGCAGCTCCTACCCCCCGCCCCCCCAACAAATTACACTTGGTAGAGAACCCTTGGAAAACACAGAGCATTTCCTATATCTTGGCAGTCACCTCTCCCAGTCAGTCTTGATGTAGAAATCAAAACACAGGATTCACTGTGCCAGCATATCCTTTGGAAAGCTGCTTCAGTGTCTTTGCTGGCTTGAGATCAGCAGATGGAAACCAAGATCCTGGCCTACAATGCAGTGGTTATCCCCACGCTCCTCTACAGGTGTAAGACATGAGTGACATATCAAAGTCAGCTTAAGCACCTGGAATGGTCCCATCAGTGCTGCCTCATGAAGATCCTTTGCATTAGATGGGAAGACCATTGCACCAATGCCAGCATCCTCTCTGCAGCTAACAACCAGCACTGAGGCAAAGATCATGAAACATCAACTCCGCTGGGCTGGCCACTGTGTGGATGGCTGATATTCATATCCCAAAGCAAGTCATCTTCTCTCAACTTAGAAGTGCTACAAGGATACCCTGAAAGCATACCTTAAGAAGGGTGGCATCAACCCCACAAAAGGGGAAGTGCTGGCTGGTAACAGGTCCCAATCGTGCTGCACCATACATCAAGCTACAGCCCACTTTGAAGGGAACCGTCTTGCTTAGGAAGCCGAGAAACAGCTAAGGAGGAAGGAAAGCACACAACATCCTGGCCAACAGTTGTCCCTCCCCCCTTTCCCCAAGACCTCACTTGTCATGTGGATTGGACTCCTCAGCCACCTTAAAACTCACCAGCAATACCGCCTGGCAGACATCATACTTGTATCAAGGGATAGCAGATAAAGATACTAGAGGGAGTGACCCACATACTTCAAGAAACTGCGGTAATGTAAAATATAGTATTTAAGTACTATATGCACATTATCAAAACTCCTGTTCTGTAATTCCCTACGCATATCAAAAGCTACAGAAACAAACAAGAATATTTACACATGTTCTCTGTCAAAATTTCTTCTCTTAAAATTGATGTTACATTTCAGGAAGCATTAAGAGCCCTTTAGATCAACTCCCACCGGTACTAACAACATCAAAATCATCTAGATTTTAAAATTTCATATTTGGAAACACAATTTTCCATCTTCTCACTCATTATAATATGAAAGAAGACTAAAATGGAATTGTGGAAAATGTCTTTTTGTCTTCTTTGCATACTGGGTTTATTTATGGCTGATGGAGGGGACCTCCAGAGATGTCAGACCATACACTCAAACTAGAATTGGAAAAACCAAAGAGTGTGATTTCTGGTTAGAGCTTTGTTTACAATTCTTACAGACTACACACCATAACAGACAGAATTTATTTGCGAATTTTATCTGCTCTTTTGGGCCAACACTGACCATATTAAAAACAAGTACTTTTGGTTCTGTATCCCTGGGATAGAATTTGGAAGCAACTTCAATGATGTTTTAGTAATCCTGAGTTAGATGTTACATTCTCATGCAAAGCTGAAATGAAAATGTCAGATTTACTGCAAACTTTGGGACCTACTGTAGTGAACAAATAATGCTTTCAAAATATTGTTCCCTAAACCCATGCTTTCACCACAAGCACAGTAATTTTTAGTATAATCCCATTAAATGTGAAAAACATCAAGTACAACACTTTGCAAAACAATAAGGAGGTACAATTACTACAAATTATAATCTCAAAAGGTGATTTAAATGCTGTTATTGTACAGGGCAATAACTGATTGTCCAGGAAGAAACATTAACAAAAGTTTTATTAAAAAAAATTCCCCTTCCACTTAAAAACAATTTTTTTTTTCGTTCCGTACTATGAGATCATGTTTAAAAAATGAAAATAGTACAGTAATTTTTGAAGACTATACATTGTAAAATGTTGTAAATCAGCATAAAACTGGACTGTGCAAGCAGATATAGCAAGTATTTCAGATGTCATTTATTTGGTCCATCAGATGTACAGTATAGTAGTAGTATTTGAGTTTTACAAAACATCAAATATAAATAACCTGAAACTGTAACAATACACAAAATCTGCTTCTTACACTGACATACCAGGCAGTACGAGCTGAAAAACTTGAGTAAATTAACATTGTTTTACAGTAATGTACATAGTGCCAGTTGGTGTTTAAGAACAAAGTTTAAACATAGCACTTTTGTTTTAAAGAATCTGCTCTCTCACTTTAGCTGAGGGTGTGAAAAATGATTAGATCTAGGCTAAAGATATTTTCCTGCTAGCCAAAAAATAAAAATCTAATATTTATAAAGCGGGGTATCAAATGATGACCCTTTACTAAACCAGAGTAACTTTTTTTCCCTAAATTCATACCTAAAGGTATTTACATAAAAAAAAAAAAAAATAACATGCTTGTTTTTCATGACTGTTTAAGCAAATACTTGTGTTTAAGTATCCATAAACTAAGTTTCTACTACATTTAATATAACATATTGGAAAACTTCTACCTTCCTATTGAAATGAGTGTTTTACCATCAAGAGGGATGGACACATGTTCATTAAGTCTGCAGTGTGATTTTTCCCTTGAAACAAAAGGCCATAAAATTAGTCTAGTTCTGAACATTTAACACACCCCAAAGTAATATCCTTGTTGTACTGTGTTATATGGATCTTTATGTCACTGGGTATATGTGCTCAGTCTAGTGCTATGATGTCATCTTGTTCTTCCGTTGGCTCTGTACGCACTCTCTTTGTACTGACATGCTCTTTGTCATCCAGTTTTCTCTTGCGATTTTTGCCTTCTGTATTATCATCATCAGTATTGCTTGAAGGGCCTTCATCATCAGAATCAACAATCAATACATCATCTTGATCTTGAGCTGGAAAACAATCCAATTGATATATTCTAAAAAATGACTATTTAAAACCCTGTCTTGCTTATCACCACAGATACAGAAAATGCCTCCAATGCCAAAATTAATGTTTTGGGATACTGTTGATAAAAAATATAATGAAATCTCTAGTAAAATAGACTTTTCACATATCACTTTTCTTCTAATCAAAAGGAATTAAAAATATTTCAGTATTCCCTCCAAAAACACATTTTTGTTAGAAAAAGGTTATTTAGGAGTATCTTTGTACATATGCAAAGTTAGCAGGAAATGCACATTATGTGAATGTGTCTTAAGAGACAGGAATAATCACACACACTTGAGTCAGTCCATCTTCATTTTTACTTAGTAAATTCACTAGAACTTCTACATTCCATAGGAGAAAGAAAAAAACCCAAGGATAAGAAAAGAAGGATAGCTTAAGAGAGCTAAAAGATAACAGAAAACATAAATAAGGGAAGAACACAATTAAAGGATACAAAGCAGACTTGACTAAACATCTTTCCCTGATGTTTCTTGTGACCTCTTTACCGTTCTACCTGAAGCCCTGTGTCTTATTCAAGCAGAGAGAGAAGGAGCCTTTTGGCAAGCAGGGGAGTACATCTTCTGTCTTGCCCGTGTCACAGGGGTTCCAGGAAATCGAGCAGACTGGATTAATCAATTAATGGAGTCTGCTGGAACAGCTTCAACAGCCTCTTGCATCTTGTGCATCAACGTTCCTGTACTTAAAAATGGTGGTGGGGGCACTTAAACTAAAGCTCATTGAACAAGCTTTAGTTTAAGTGCTCCCGACCGCCATTTCTACGTGTGAGAATGCTGATACACAATACCCTGCGGCAATTAGAGCAGCTCCGATCTAATTAAAGCACCGTTCCCCCTCTGCCCTCCCCATGTAAAAGTGCCCTAAAAATGTAACAATTGATTAATTTGAAATGATTCTGACCTAATCTTATTTTAGAAGGCATAGCAAGACATTAAGGTAATGTGAAAACGATCACCACACAATTCTGCACATATTTTGAGTAAAACATAGAGTCAAAGCAACGTCCCCAAAAATCTAAAAAAACCCAAAACACACATAGAATTTCGATCACACAACAAACTTCCACATTTACTTATTTCCATGCAACAGGACACTTCAAATATTTTAAACTTAGCAAAGTTTAAAGAGTTCTACATCCAACCGAATTATTCTTAGTCTACTGTCATCCCTTTGAATAAGACCACTGGATTTAAGATGAATCCAAGTTTTCTGACTCTCAATTTAAGAAAAATAGAAAACAACATATATAAAGACATTTAAAAGGCTACCACCTTCATAATGCATACAACAGGACATTTTTATAAGGGTGCCTCATGTTCAAAGGAATACAGTATTCAGAATACCTTCAAAGACCCTTTAAAACAGTAAAGTGTTTTTCTGGTCAGCACAATGCATTTCATCTTGCTTTCCTTGGAGGAAATGAGGGGAAGAAAGGAAGGGTATTAATTATTTCATTGCACATTAATGTCATTGCTTTTTAGTTAAGTTAGCAGGATGCTTAAGTTCCAAATCTGCAACACAGGAAATGTGTAACTTGAAAGAGTCCACAAAAAGGAGTTTTATTTTTACAGCAACTTACTGTATGATGAGAGGGATCTATTTTACACCGCTTCTACCTGAAAACTCCTTCTGTCCATTAAACAAAATCAGAGCCTTTTTTAGAAAAAGAGAAACTGACAAACATTTTGGTTCTATATTACATTTTTGATGACAGCCTCAAAGGTGAGTATTTACTAACAAATCTGTTCCCATAAAAATAAACCATTTTATTTTAACTCATTTATTGTTTGTTACCTGTTGATGTTGATGGCTGTGCTCCATCATCGCTACCATTAGTGATGTTCTTAGAAGCTGGTTCTGATGGTTTGGGGCCAACTTTTTCAGGAGCATCTCCAACAACCTCAAATTCTACATCATTTTCTAGATCTTCACTGCAGAAAAATCCACATGCTTTTAAACAACCATGTAAGTTTGAATACCGGTCTTTGCACAAACACAACATATTTGATTTAACTACTACTAGACCAATATGCAAATATTTAAAAAAATGCTCATAATGAACAGGAAAGAACTGTTCAAGCTCCGCCTAACCGACTTAGGTTTTTTTTATATAGTCTGCCTTAGGAAGATACTTAATTGAACGTTTTTCTCCCAGCTTCATTTTACTATCTTCTGCTTTTATCCCAAATGAAAATTTGACCCAACTTCTTCAAAGTGAATATCAATTTGTTTAGCTTTATTTTGATCACAAATAGTAGAGCAATCAATCACCAATTTCTCATAATAGCCAAGTAATTTTTTTATTTGTTGAGAATCCTGAGTACATATCTTTTGGGTATACACTGCGCTCTCATTTTTTACGTTAAAAATTAACTACTTAATCTCACAGTAGGCACCTCAATTATTTCACCCAACTATAGGCTTAATGGTTTCCTTCCAAGCTTTCTGTTCCTTAATAGTTAAAACTAACTTGTAAGTTTAAAATTCTGCATTGGGAAATCCCCCTTAAAATTATTCTAAATACATACACACAAGAAAACAAACACTCCATAATCCTTACCAATGAAGTACGTTGATTAACAGCGTATAGTCCTGGAGGAAGTCATCTGCTTGTAGCCTAGTGCCATTTCGAATTCCAAAATCTGATAACTTCCTGTGGTTATTTGCTAGGAAAATATTGAATTGTTTTACTTATTTTTATAAAGATTATGTTAAGTACTAGAATTCATAACTATGCTTTATATCTGAATACATGAGAAGTTTAATTTTTCATCCAGAAATTCATTTTAAGGAAAGGGTACTGAAGTATATTTAGCTTACTTTAAAATGTTGATGTTAGAAACTACGCTAATACACTAAAACATACTTATTGAATATTAAAACTTTCTAGGTTCAGTTTAAACCAGGAAAGCCAAATATTTCAGAGTCAAGGCCTTTCACCTTCATGTAATTTGTACTAAATATTATAATCCTTGTGACCTATGAAATAGCTTGGAGGAACATTAGAAATAAATATTTTAATTTAGTACCTGGACCCTCTATCCAAGTCTAACTCTTAATATTATTTTAATAAATACATTTATTTCTGGAATGCAATTTATTTGCTACACAGCAGTATTAATTAAAAAAAAAAAAAAAGAGACTGCACTATGCCACTTGGACTCAATGCAGTTTCAAACAAATCACTGTTTTTTTTCATTTATAACAGTTTTAAAGCAGTTCTTTATGAACTACTACTAGGGCTGTTTATTACTTGTACTGTGGAAGTACCTAGAAGGACCAGTCATGGCATGACAAAAAATAAGTACAGCACGAAAGCCAGATGGATACAGATAGAGGAAGATAACTTGTCCGTTATTCCAGCTGGTACAACCTACTCTTGTAACAGGAATTCTGGGGCACGAGACTGAACAGCTTGACCTGGGAAGGCTTGCACAGAACAGATCTGCAACATGCAGACAGTCCTAATATATCTATACACACACACACACACACACACACACACACACACACACACACTACTCGGTTGACTTCAGAATGATCATTTGCTGAATTTGGGCCAAAATGTTCTTTGGCTATAATGCTGTTTTAATTTCTCTTCCAAAAGTTACTGTTCACATACCTTCTGTTTCTCCCTCCTCTGAGGAGATAAGAATAGTTCCTTTTCCGTCTTCTATCTGCACATCCGGTGCTACCATAGCAAATTTTTCTTTCACTATCTGAAAAGATAAAAATAAGTTTAAAACGTTCTATTGTAAGATGAATAATGTGGTAAAATTCCTTCAAAAACACAATGATTCAATTTCCAATTTAAGCCTACAAAAATACCTCTTTACAGATACAGTGCAAAGTAACTGCCCCCAATCCCAAAAGGTACAAGATCTAGTCAATGCAAACCATCTATAGAACAAAATTTGTATGCTCTCCTCAATTTTTTCAATACATTTTTAAATCTAATTAAAGTTAAACTAGTGTCAAGATATTAAAATGATTGTCAGCATACATTTTATTACTTAAGAAATAAAACATGCTGAAAGTTCTCTTAGTAGTCAATAGATTTCTTTTGTAAATCTGTAGAATGGCAACTTCTAAAATATAGTATGAATGTTACTTAAAAAACCCACAAAACGTAGACTGTTAGTACTACCCAATATAAAACAAAAAATACTGTATTCATATTTAGAACAAAAATAACTGAAAAGTTACAAAATGCAAACATTCCTTTATAGAATGTACAACTACCAGAAATGACCAGATGGACTTCTTTTTTTATCTTAACTCAGCAAACCACAAAGTAAAGGGCAAAAGATAACAGCCAACATAAGGTAAAAAGCAGACAAAGACTAATGCAACCTGGCACTAACTTCAGTGCTGAGTCTGCCCTGCCACTAGGGGGACGGCCTGAGCCCAGCCCCAGGGAACATCCAGGGGTTGGGGTGCTAGGCACCTGCCCCGGGACCCTACCCTCTAGCCGCCCCCCCACCCTTGAAGACCCAAAATATTATAACAAATTTTCCGTTTGTATATAGTTTTCCCCTTGTATACAGTTTCCCACTTTTTTATTGCTGGTTGGTGGGGAAGGTGGTGGAGGGGCTCTGTTGATTGAGGGGATTCTGTTTGTTGAGGGGGGAAGGGATGGGGTGGGTGTTGTGAGGGTAATAACGTTTTTTTGTTTCAACCATGTGCAGTTCTGAGAGTGGTGCTGGGGGTGGACAGGGAGTAGGGGGTGTGTGGGTGGTGGGGCAGGTGGGCTGGAACAGGGAGTGCAGAAGAAAGGGGTGGGCATGGTCTCTGGCAGCCAGTGTCCTGGTCCCCAGGGGGGCCTTCTGGGGCCAGCACCATAGCCAGCAGGAGCACAGGGCGCTGGGCATTGTTGGCAGGGGCTGGAACAGCTCTGGTGCAGAGAGGCAGGATGGGCAAGGAGGGAGCTGTCTGCTGCCCCTGCACTGGGCGCACAGCTCCTGGGCAGCGAGGGGGCTGGCCAGGGATCAGAGTTTCGCAGATGTCTCCCGGATGCTTGCAGCCATGTGGCTGGAGGCTGGAGCTCCCCCTGGTGACCACAGGGGCACATGGCAGGCCTGTAGGGCCTTCGGACTAACTTTAGCCCCAAGTCCTGGCACGTGTAGACACCTGACAAAAATTGCTTAATGCACATTAAATTTAGTTGGACTTCAATGCACATGTAGACATGCCCTAAGTGTTACATCCTATGTATCCTGTATATCCTAATAAAGCGTTAGATCCATCAACTACCTTTTGTAACACTTCAAATGTTCTTGAATTCTGATATATTTAAATTGAAAAAAGTGCAATGGAAAATTGAAAAACTGTAGTTATATGTTTGAAATGTCAGTCTTTACCTTGTCTTGTAATGTTAACACTGTAACTTTGTGTACATTAAGTTTCACCGTCACTTCTGGCTTACTTGCGCACACATAACAATTGGGATTTGGAGGATCCAAAGCACAAGGAACAAGAAGCTTCTTTCTTGGATTTGGCTGTTTGTTCAGAAAAATCTTAGAGGAGGAAGAGGGGAGGGGAAGGTTAGAATTAAATATATAATGAATATATATTTCATTATATATATGAAAAAAGGGAAAACACGTTATTTTCACTTACTGTTCTACACTGATCTAGTTTTCCTGATAATATCTTCAAACCTTCCAACACGATTAGACCAGCTATTACTGCGTTAGTTGTGGCAATAGCCGGGATAATATTTCCTGCCATTGCTGCAAAATAAACAAACATTTTATTCACAGTAGATGGAATTTTTCAAGCCATGTAGCATAAATATTTGACATATTGAAATAATAATGCATTTTATACTTACATTTGATATCAAATCTGCTCTTCATATTCATACTGAAAACATGCATCCTGAGGTTTGCAGCAGAAGTGACAAAATCCATTGCAGATGGATCATCCTGGCAGTACCATTTTAAAAAAGCAAAACAAAACATTTTTGTCCAGATTTTTATTGTAAAAAACTATTTCCATCAAAGCTTTGGAGCAATCGATACAACACTGAGTTACTCAAGCTAACACGCTTCTTTTTCAGATTGTATTTATAAAATTTTAGACACTGCAGTACTGTAGACAAATGCAATCGCCAAACAAAAAAATAGTATTTGCCTAATACTGTTTATGTTCAAAGCAATGAAGAGACATAAGTCATATGACATCCCTGGAAGATAAAAAAAAGTTTTATCCACATTAACAGATGGGGACATTGAGAAAGGCAGGTGAGACATACTGCTGAAGGCTACCCGTTAAGTGAGCAACGCAGCTGGGTTTAGAATTTATAACTCTGAGCTCCCAAATCCACCAAATTCACCACACTGGCATCCCATGAAAAATATTCTTCCTCTCAGTCTCCAAGAATTCATAATTCTACTGTATCAAACCATTATCAATATTTTATGGTCCATAAAAACAGAGCATAAAGTTTTTTTCTTATAGTTAAAAACACCCAACATGAAATGTGACAGGCAAAATACAATCTTGAATTTATAGCTGGGCAGTTAAAGACAGAACCGATTTAGGTTTGGATCCTGTAAACTACTTAATGTGGGCACAAATATTTGCTCATGCATAGCAGTATGTAGGATTACAGCTTTTAATGATGGTCTAAAAATACTTCCAAGACTTTTTATCAATCTTTGATTTATTTGAGATCTTAAAATTTTTTCAAGTTTGGTAGCTTACGTAACAGGTTAACCAGACTGATTGCAAATCTGGTTTGAAACAGACTGCCCTATAACATTGTTCCTATTTACCTCTATCTTCAAATATTTTTTCTTTTGTTCAACCCAAAAATGCTTTGGAAATGAAAGTATAACAATCCAAATCTTTTATTATACTAGTCTACTATAGAAAGACAATTAGTGAAAAAAGTTTGCTTTTGCTTCACTTCAAAATAGTCTCAGCCACATTGTTTTAGTGACTTGATCAACAGCGAGATCAACACTTTTGGCTTCTCATTTTCCTTCAGCAAAACTGCATAATATACCACAGGCATACTGTAAAGAATCTGGCACTAGATTTAAACGGTAATAAGTTCTCTCTCTCCACAACAACATAAAGTATAAACTTAAAATAACAAAATAAATCTTTTTTGTGAAAGATACTGATACTTTCAAAACCAGAACTGGAAGTGGCTAAAATTACACCCCTCTCTCAAGGTAACGATTTAACTTCCTAAGAAGTTGATGGTTCTGCTGAATATTGATCAACAGTAAATTGCCTTAATTACTCCCACATGCCTCTCTGTTTAAACAAGATTAAAAACAACAAAAAAAGAAGTTCCCCAAGCCAAGCCTGTTTTCATTTCCAGAAGTGCTACCCTACTGCAAACTTAGTCTTTAGTGCTCATTTAACACACACGTGCACTTAGTGTATGACCACTCCCTATACATTTGCTGAACTAACCTTATCCCATATAAGCTCAGCTCCATCACCTTTTTCAGCTAGGTGATGTCTCAAAGTTTCCACACTCTTTGAAAACAAGCGTGCATAGCTCTTGACATCCAGAACCTGTTGATCTTTCAGGACCATGGAGGATTCATTTTGTTGATCAGGTGTATTTTTTTCTTCAAAAGGAAAGAAAAAAACCATTGAAAACCTACAAGATCTAGGAATTTGAGACATCTGAAAAAATAGAATGTAGTACAAATGGAATAAAATTATACTGCATTTTGTAAAAAACCTGCACTTAAAATTGTGCCTTTAAGAATTAAGTCACTGCATATTCATATCAGCTAAAACTGCTGCAAATGCTACAACTAATACAAACAAAACATAAAGGAGTCTGCAGACACTTGTGAGACTCATAAATACACCCCTGTTATCATAAATGAGAGAGGTATATTCTAGGATGTTAAACCTGACATAGTGATCTGTAGGGTTTTAAAATATAAGTACTGTAGTTACAATACTTGCAAACAGTTTCAATGACTGAAGAAAATAATTTCATGTGGCTGAATCCTGAAACAGAAGGTATAACTTGGTACCAGACAAAAATGAGAGAGAGAAATATTACCTTGATTCTGTACTTCAGTCCAGTCTAGTGGCACTGGAGGTTTTCTTTTCCTCCAAAGCTTATCCATTGTCAGCAAGTATCTGATGTCATCTTTGAAAAGCTAACATATATTAAGCAATAAGAAGAAATATAAAGGTATGTAAACTTTGTTTTACTTTATTGGATTTGTACCATTTTGTGTTTCTCCCACACAAGGGCACTTCCAACAAACAGAATTGTCATGTAATTTTAGTTCACTCATTAAATGACCTAAAGGAAACAGATTCTGTAAAACTAGTCTTAACATGTGCCTTCTAAGGCTTAATTTTTCATGTAAAGCAGAGGCAGCTGTACTTAACAGGTTAAATTATTTCACTTTAAAAGAAGTGTCAAGGGATAATAACCCAGAGAGATTATGTTCTTGCTGAAGTTACATGCATTTTAACCTACAAGTCTATTTCAAAATGGCCACCTTATACCAAGATCCTTAAGACTAGCAGTGCTGCTTAACATCACAGCCCACCCACACCTGTTCCCTCCCTCTAACGACCAGAAGGATCCTGAAACAGAACCCACTTCTCTGTTTTGAGATTAACTGTGTACAGATGATATCAGACAGTCTTTTCACCCTCACACAAGCTTCTGTTTATATGAAAAGAGCTCCCTACAGAGTCCAAAATTAGATTTTAAATTTGTTCTCATGCAAAAATAATTTTAAAGCAAATATGATTTAATCTTTACCATTTGTACCATATGTCACTTCTCTGATATCACACTGGCAGCTGGGTAACTACCTTCTGTTCAGGCACAGGGAAAAGACTATAACAGGGAAGCACAGGAGAACCCAGGGACAAAAGCACAGTAGGACCATGATACTATACAGTCATATCATAATCTTATTTGGTTGTTACTTTAAGTGGTCAAAATTGAAAGCTATGGCTTAAGTTAACAGTAGTTCAAATAGCTCAAAGATATTTTTGGGTGCAAAAATGGTACCTTAGTAAAAAGTTTAACTGGGTCATATCCAGTTGATTTAGCCCACTCCTTAGTTGACACGCGTTTAATATCACCATCTTCATTAGATGCTCGTGCTCTGGCTTCTGCTTCTGCTGGTTCCCCTATTTAATAAAAAGATGATGATTTATTCAAACTATAAAGAAAAAAACCCATCAGAATTGTGATACTAAACTAACATTATTCTGGGAATATAACTAAATGTTCACTGGCCTTTGAAGTATAGCTTTTTCCCCTTCTCAAGCCTATGTGCATATCAGAGAAACCAAAGCAAAAAGGGAAAAAATGGTTACTTGCCTTTACAGTAGCCACAGTTCTCCAATACATTCCGTATGTGTGGCTCTCACTCATGGTGTACATAAGCCCTCTGCATTGGAGCTTGAAGTGTTTTCACTTTTAATGTCCATAAGACGTTGCACTATGAGCGGTGTTGGCCCTTTATGCTCCCAATCCCAACAGCATAAAAAACAGAGTAGCTACAGCCACCACCTAGTTCCTTCTTTACTCAGACTCCAGATGACAAGGCTACAAACTGTAGGTGTTACTGGGTAGATCATGGAATTCAATTGCACAGAAACTCTCAAACAAGTTACTACTAAAGGTAAAACCAACCCAGACTTCCTCTAAGGTAGAGAGACAGGAGCTAAATGGTGGATAGAGGGGTAAAGATCAGTCCCGAGACAGATCTGGTTGATAGGTAGCAGAAGCAGAGACAGAGATTTCCTCATCTACCTTTTCCTGAACTGTTCTGCGGGGCACCCTCCCAAATGACAACTACAATCTGAAATCCAGTACTGGATCTGGAATATTTCAGTGGGTGCACAACCTCAGTCTTCGCACTGAAGAATTATTTGCAGTCAATTTGTAAATCCTTTATGTATGTACTTCTTTAGGCAACTTGAAACAGACAACCATGATGCCTTCCTCATAACAACTGTTCTTGACATCAATCTTACTCCTGTATCTACTATATCCAGTGGCACATGCAGAATATTTGATTCCAGTTACCTTTCTAAACAGACACACTCCTTCTTTAAGATCCCCATGGATTTCATATTTCTCCTTAGCATTTCATAGTCAAACCAAGTAGTAATAGTATGCTAGGACAGCCTAGTATAGGGCTGTCCAACTGGCAGTCTGTGGCCCACAGCTGTGTCTCCAGGTTCCTGTCCAGACAGCTTCCCACACAGATTAAGCCGTAATAAAAGAGCTTTCTCCCTCCTCTGCCTTTTACTGCCTGCCCCTAACCCTGACCCAGGTGGTGAGGCAGCGTACTGTGGCCTGGCCCTGGAAGTTGAGGGTGAGCCTAGTGCTGTGTGATGTAGTGGTGGACCACGTATAGACATGCAGTACAGCAGTTAAGATGGTGGAAGGCCTGTATAGAGAGACAGTGCAGTGGGAGGGTGGGAGATGGAAGAGGTGTCCACATGACCAGTGGCCAGGGCTCCCACAGCTTGCCCACAGGTGTGGACTCCCACTGCAGAGCCTTCAAGTGTTGACATCCCTAGCCTAATATGGTAAGCAGCTTGCTGCCACCCCCAAGAGGAGTCACAAGGTGGTGGTAGGGGACTCCCTCCAGCAGAGCAGAGGGACCCATCTGTCATCTGGACCTCCTAGCCTGTGAGGCCTGCTGCCTCCCAGGGGCTCGCATCTGAGGTGTAGTAGAGAGGATCCCCAGGCTTGTCTGGCCCTCCGATTACTACCCCATGGCTCCTCATCCATGTGGGAGCCAGAGGAGGGAGTCATTATGATGACTAATGACACTGCCAGGAGTAATCTATAGGGCTCTGGGGGCTGGGCTAAAGGGGATGGGAGCCCAGGTAGTCTTTTCTTCTGTGCTCCCTGTTGCAGGCCACGGTGCCAGAAGGAAAGGATACATCAAGGAAGTGAACCAACGACTCCAACGCTGGTGCCACTGAGAAGGCTTTGGATTCCTTGACCACAGCGTGAGCTTTAGGGAGAGAGGACTTCTGGGAAGGGACGACATCCACCTCACGGCATCCCTGTTCGCGGCCAGGATGGCCAATCTTTTGGACAGGGCTTTAAACTAAGATTGCTGGGGGACAGGGATGCACAAATTCAAATATGTCCAGGGACCAAACATACAAGTCCAGTAAATAGAAACACGGGGAGAGCCACTTTTTTCATAGGATTCATAGATGCTAGGGTCGGAAGGGACCTCAACAGATTATCAACGAGCGCTGGGGTCAGATAACCCCAGTCAGATGCCTGTCCAGCCTTCTCTTAAAGAACCCCAAGGTAGGGGAGAGCAACACCTCCCTTGGAAGCCCATTCCAGATTTTGGCTACCCTTACCTGGTGAGACTCCTCACATGACCTGAGTGTAGCTATAGAGAGCTACACCCTGCATAGAAGGGACCGGGTGGGGAAAAAAGGTGGAGGCGTTGCTGTCTATGTGAAAGAGCAGTACTCCTCATTGGAGGCTGACATTGGCTCCAAAAATATACAGCTTGAAACCCTCTGGAGGGGGTGCAGCCAGAGAGACTTAACGTGTATACTACAGACCACCAAACCAGGGGGAGGAACTCGATCTGGAGTTCGCCTGAGAATGGACTGAGGCTGCACGTGCGTGTGACATGGTCATCATGGGCGTCGGAGGAACACTCAGTCAAGTTAAAACTGTTGCGATCCTTCCTGACCTGTGTTGAGGAGCTCTTCCTGACTCAGGATGTACATGGACTAACCAGAGGTGATGCTCTGCTAGACTTGGTCCTGGCCAAGGAGATGACCTGATGACTGACTGAATTATAGAGGGGAATCTGGGTGACAGTGACCATGAAACCATCATGTTCATTGTCCGACGTAAGGCAGACAAATCGGATAGCAGGACTGAAGTCTTGGACTTCAAAAAGGAAAATTCAATAAGCTTAGGTCACATCAGGCAAGTGCTGTGGGACCAAGGACCGAAGGCAAAAGGTGTGCACAGAGTGGTTGTTCCTTAAGGACGCGATCCTTGAAGCACAAAGGAAGTCCATTCCCATGAGGAAAAAAAGGTAACAGAAAGGATGGGAAGCCCTCTTGTCTAAACAGGGAAATCATGGTCCTCCTAAGAAAGAAGAGGCTTATAAACAATGGAAATTCGGGGCAGGCCCCAAGGAGGACTATTCCACGATGGCCTGCATTTGCAGGGAACAGATAAGAAAGCCTAAAGCGGCGACTGAACTTAGATTAGCAAGGGAATCAAGGACAACAAGAAGTCCTTCTTTAGGTACACAGGGAACAGGAGGAAAACAAATGGGAGCGTGGGGCCATTGCTCAACCACTCAGGAGAGCTGGTTACTGGCACCCAGGAGAAAGCTGAACTCCTGAATGACTATTTTGCCTCGGTCTTTCACCAGACCAAGGGGAAAACCATGCCAGGTAGAGGATGAGCACAGTAGGAATAATCGCCTTCCTACTATTGCCGTAAAATTGGTGTATGACCAATTAATAAAATTAGATGTATACAAGTCAGCAGGACTGGATGATTTTCATCCGAGGGCGCTGAAGAAGCTGGCCAAAGTCACTGCAGAACCCCTGGCAAAACTCTTCCACAACTTGTGGCGCTCTGGAGAAGTCCCTGAGGACTGGAAGAGGGCCAGTGTTGTGCTCATTCACAAGAAGAGCAGGAGGGAGGACCTGGGTAACTATAGGCCAATCAGCCTAACTTCCATCCTAGGGAAAAGACTCCTTGATGAACTTTTCTAGGATATGTGCAATAAGCTTGCAGAAGGTAAGATTCTGAATGACAGCCAGCATGGCTTCATTGTGGGCAGGTCTTGCCTTACCAACCTCATCTCCTTCTATGCCCAGGTAATTCACCACCTGGACACGAGAGAGCAGGTTGACGTTGTATACCTAGACTTTCCAAACTCCTCTGATCTAGTATCCCTCAATGTTCTCACGAGAAAATTGAATGATTGTGGGCTTAACTCCGAGACAGGTGGGTGAGAAACTGGCTGCAGGATGGGACCCAGTGTCGTAGTGAACAGATCTGTGTCATCCTGGAGAGAAGTGGGCAATGGTGTCCCACAGGGGTTGGTGCTTGGTCCAGTACTTTTCAACATCTTTATTAACCATTTGGATGTGGGGTGAAGAGCTCACTGGCCAAATTCGTGGATGACACCAAGTTATGGGGCAGTGTGGTCACGCTCGAAGATAGACTACAGTTACAGGTGGACCTAGACAGGCTAGCAAGTTGGGAGGATTGAAACCTGATGAAGTTCAACACTGAGAAATGTAAAGTGCTCCACCTCAGGATGAGCAACCCCCAACACACCGACAGGTTTGTTAGCACCAAACTGACTGGCACCACGAATGAAAGGGACCTGGGGGTAATAATAGACCACAGTATGAATATGAGCCAGCAGCGCGATGCTATAGCCAGTTAGGCAAATAATACTCTGGCGCGCATCATTCGATGCATCTCCAGCAAAACCAAGAAAGTAATTCTTCTGCTGTACTCAGCACTGGTGAGACCGCAGCGGGAATACTGCGTCCAGTTCTGGACACCACACTAACAAGGACATGCACAAGCTTGAGAGAGTCCAAAGAAGAGCCACCCGTATGATCACAGTCTTAAAAAGCAAGCCATATGAGGAAAGGCTAAGGGATCTGGGACTCTTCAGCCTGAGGAGAAGGCCAAGAGGGGATCTGGTAGCAGCTTACTGCTACACTAAGGGAGTACATCAAGGGCTCGGTGAGCACCTGTTCACCGGGGCACCCGAGTGGAAAACTAGGAGTAATGGCCACAAACTCCTGGAAGATCGATTCAAGCTCAACATTAGGAAAAACTTCTTCACAGTCAGGGTGTCCAGATTGTGGAAGAAGCTCCCTCCAGAGGTGGTGCAATCGCCTACCCTGGAAATCTTCAAGAGACTAGACAGTCACCTTGCTGGGGTCACCTGACCCCCAGTTATTTTTCCTGCTTGGTGCAGGGGGCTGGACCCGATGATCTTCCGGCCTTACAATCTATGAATAATTTTCTATTCTAAATTTCAGGTTAGCAGAAAGTGTCATTTTACCCCCCACAAAAATCTAGCCTGCTCAACTTTTTGTCCTTCAGAATTAATTTATCATACTGCTTAGAGATTTCAGTGATTGCAGTTGCAAGTAAATATGAAGGTGCAAAATGGGTGAAACCTGATACCTACCATTCTCAGGTTTCAAGGTAGATGTAATGGAAGCTTCAGTGGCTCACAAGTTTTTGCCAGTTTCTCAAGGATAACCTTCCTTTTTGTGAAGGCCACCCTGCTCTTTAATGGTGGATGCAAAATAGCAAAAAGCATATGTGACTCTTCTTACATACCCTTCAGGGGAACATTTAGGTTTTCAGATATTCCTGTTACACAGCCCTCAATGACCAGGATACATGAATTCACACAGAGAATGAAGAGAAATGAAAAGCTATCGAGCAGTGATGCTCAATTAAGGTACCATGAGATCCTTTTAAGGGTGCCATGGGATGATGTGTAATATTAGCACTGTTAGGTGTGCAAACACCTACACATGGTTCACAACATAAACCTAGAGATTTCAAATATAAATTGATAGCGTCAAAAGCACTCTGACCTGTTGTGGTCTTTTTGAGTTAACTATTCTCTTAACAGCAGAGAATACTTGCTCTACTGTTTCTTCCCTTGAAGCCCCCCAAAAAACTGAGAGCTAAGAGTTGCCATTTTCTAAGGAGGTCTTAGAGTCTAAAATGGTTCAGAATTTCACTACAGAGAATCCTTCCGATGACTTATATTTTCTCCTTCATTCAACCCGTTGATCGTAATAGATTCTACTAAGGTAAGCAAAAGGGTGTTTGAGGTTCCTGCAGAAGAGATTTATCTCCAGACCTTTCAGAATAATTAATACAAGACAACTTCAAGAGCTGAAGCTGTTGAGTCCATTAAGGTCTGTATGGCTAAGCCTGTAACAAAACATATATTGGAGGTGGTATCCAAATCACCTGGAGTTTCAGCTGCTGTCTGACCCCTGTAAGCTGATCCTCTACTCTCAATGTTCAGAAGAAAGCTGCATCAGTCTTGGAAAATGTGTACCTGTGTGCGAGTGAATTCCTGCTGATTCAGCTGATGAGAATGGGAAAGCTTCTGGGGAGGCAATGTACCCTGGGAAGCTGAGACTTGAGAAGGGCTCACTAGTGTCCTGATGTAACAGCTAAGGAATATTCTTATGACTGGTATCCTGTGTTTCACTCCTGGAGAGGCCTTCAACCTGACTGATGGAAAAGGAGGTGACACATCTAGAAGGGATCAAGTTTGAGTAAACTATTTATTCTGCTTTGGTCATAAATACAATTTTTGTTGGCCATACTTGTAGTAGAGATCTGGGTACTGAGGAATCCATTGAGGGGGTATCAGAATTAGTACCATGAGAGTTTGAGATAGATGACTTGATATCAGACAGAACATTAACAAACAAGGAGGTATGAAAGGAGTTCTTGCATTCAGTGTTGAACCTTATTAGTATTATGCTTGAACCCTGGATACTGTCTTTGAACAGTTTATATGTGGTTGTTCTTGCAGATTTGTCCCTCTCTTTGGTTCTTTGTTTTAAATCTTCTTCAAGCCTTAGTAATGGAAAAGGGGACACCAGAGCCTAGAAGGAAGTTTGAAGTTCACTTCCTCCTTTTCATGGCAGAGTCTCCTTGGATTGGGAGCAAGTTTTCTTCAGTTCTCTAATTCTTGGAGGGATGTGTCTAATAGACAGAGCAATAGAATCACATGGTTTCCAGGCAAATTCACCTGCCTTCTTCCTCTGTATCATCTGAGTCTAATGTTCTCCTCACCAATTTTCAAATAAGGTAAAGTTTTATCATGATTTCCTACAATGCCTTGTGCATATGTTTTTTTTAATTATAAATAACACACTTTGAAGCAATAAGCTCTTATTTTCAATACTGGCATTGAGCTTATTATACATTATTTAAAGGAATTACCTCTCTGCATGATGGACAAGATTTAAAACCCAGTGATCTGAGCTCAACAGTAGTCAAATTCCTGCTATTGGTATCTCTAATCTACCTTTATTTCCTAACTAGCTATTATGCAAGCTTTTCCCTCCTTAGTCCCCTTGGACTAACACAACAGGTGCTGACAGATGTGGAAAAAAAAATCCCAAAACAGTGCTTTACCAGAAAAGGCATAGTTTGACAAGTTTGACCTCGCTCCCCAGCATCTGTATATCTGAAACATTTCAGCAAGGCTTTTTATCTAATGGCT